AGATATGATTCCAAGGACTCAAAGCACTAGACATTTCCTTGAATATTTCAGGAGGCAATAGAAGGACCATTTTGGAGGGAAAAAAGGTGGTAGGGAGGGGAAATATTACAGAACCATTTTCCCCTTGGTGAGGGTATTCTTCATTAATATTCGTGGATCCCATTCAGAGCTTTGGGGCTGAGAGACTAAGTCTTTCCCAATATTCAAGGCAAATTCTGTGTTCAGGTGCTCTTGTAGATCTCCCATTGAGTTATAAAAACTGATTTTATTTCATTGAACTTGTCATGCAGCTCTATCCTGGTGAATATATGTCAGAGCGAGAAGCAATTTACTGCACTTTCCTTTTTTATTTTTTATTTCAAGCCTATTTCCCCCATGCATTTGGGAGACAGATGAATCTAAGTTTTTCAATATGTACAGTTCTGTGCATTTTAACAAACTTTATGCCTTCCTGCTTTCCAGTATCATAACTGCTGCATGCATAATAATGAAGAATTGCGAACAGGGGAAAGAGAAAAGCTCTTATATGGCAATTATGCTTGAGAAAGGGAATTTAGCTTTCATCAAGTTTACTAATAATCCTGAATCTTCATATGGAAATGTGACTCATTTCTCTAAGATGCCTACCATGTACATTTCAGAATATTAAAAGGAAAAAAAAGACAGCATATATTTTCTCCCCTACATTCCTCCCCCACCTTCATTGCAAACAGTTTAACACAAAACTGTTGATATTGACAAACTTCAGGGCTGGGTTAATGAGGGTTGATTTTCTATGGAGAAGAAAAGTGAAGAAGGAATAGAATTCTTGTATCTTCATTTTCTGAAAGGAAAGTTATCAAGGCTTTTTGATAAGTTATAATGTTTTTACTTATAAGTTATAATCTATTTGAGGAAGCATTTTGGGAATCATAAAGTGCTGATCAAATATTAGTATATCCAGCCTAAGGTTGATTATTTTTAATACAATTTGAGTTTTGTCCAGGGCTCACACCTTGTACCTGTGGGGTACAGAAAATTTACTTGATTCAACTCATTAAAACTCTAATGTTCTCCTGCCCTTCACACACACACATTGAAAACAAAACAACAAAACACAGTCACAACCCAAGGGCTGTCTCTCACATGCTCAGAAACAAATTTGTCAAGGACGATCTCCAGCTGTTCTTCGATGCCTTTGTTCTTCTCCAAGGTCTCTTTCTCTCCTATTTGCTTTTGAGCTTCTCTGTGGCAGGGATATACTTGATTTGTGTTTGTATTCTCACAATCATCTAGCATATTAGCTGGCTCATCCTAGGTGAGCAGTAAATAACTGTTAAACTGAATTAATGGATTCTGCTTTGTCACCCAATATACTAGCAATGTCATCTGGACATATTATCAGCAGCCTGTCAATACCCTCATCTTAGAGTAGTCCTCCCTTCCCCATGGTTTCACTTTTTGTGGCTTCAATTACCCATGATCAGCTGTGATCCAAAAATATTAAATGGTAAATTCCAGAAACAAACAATTCATAAGTTTTAAATTGTGCACCATTATAAGGAGCACAATGAAATCTCCAGCTGACTTGCTCTGTCCAGCAGGCACATGAATCATTTCTTTGCCTAGCACCGTGGTCTAGCATATCCACACTGTGTGCGCCACCTGCCCCTTAGTCACTTAGTAGCCATCTCTGTTAAACAGATCGACTGTCACAGTATCACGGTGCTTGTGTACAATTCACCTTTGTTTTACCTAATAATGGCCCCATAGCGCCAGGGTAGTGATGCTGGCAATTCAGATATCCCAAAGAGAAGTCATGATATTTCTCTAAGAGAAAAAGTATGTATGTAAAGGAAAAAAACATAGTTTATAGAGTTCGGTATTATGCTTGGTTTCAGGCATCCACTGGGTCTTAGAACATATTTTCCCATGAATAAGAGGGGTACTAAGGTAGTTAACGATGTAAAGATTCTTCCATGGAATTTAATCTTGCTTAGAATAGAACAGCGATTTTCAACCTTTTTCATCTCATGGCGCACATAAACTAATTACTAAAATTCTGCAACACATAAAAAATATACTTTTGCCTATCTGACAAAATATATAGGTATATATATGATTGATTCACACCAAATGGCTATTGTATTGGCTGTTGTCATTTTTTAATTTGACAGTCTAAGGCAGTGGTTGGCAAACTCATTAGTCAACAGAGCCAAATATCAACAGTACAACTATTGAAATTTCTTTTGAGAGCCAAATTTTTTAAACTCAAACTATATAGGTAGGTACATTGTTATTAACTTAATTAGAGTACTCCTAAACTGGCCTTTGCTAAAAACGTCCTCAATCTGAGGGGTCAACCTCAGTGAACATACCCCCACTTCTTCTAATGCCACTTCTTCAAAATTGACTCACCCAGGCTGAAAACCGATTTCTGCGCATGGGCCATGAAGTTTCAATCGCACTGTACGTGCGCGCCTGCACGTGGTATTTTGTGGAAGAGCCACACTCAAGGGGGCAAAGAGCCACATGTGGCTCACAAACCGCAGTTTGCCGACCACTGGTCTAAGGGGAAAGAGGTCAGTGCCCCTGACTAAATAGTCAGGTATTGCATGTTTTAAAAATTCTTGCAGCACACCAGTTGAAAATCACTGGACTAGAGCCTTAAGAATGTATGAGCAATAATGTTCCTTACAGCTTCACTTTGTATCATTTTTGTTAATGTGGATAGTGTGTGAATCCAGCCTTGGTGTGAATCCAGACCTTGCTGCCTGGCTGTGGTGTTGCCTTTGTGAAGTCACTTAACTTTCAGGGCCTCAATTGAAATTGCTCATAAATGTATGTTGAAAGAACTAATAAATTAATGATCTCTAAACATTTTTATTATCCCTAAACTGGGGAGAACATACGTACCTAACAGTGCTGTTAATATACCCTATCTGGCAAACTCAGGAAGGTGGGAAATTATTCAGATGTTTTACAAACATACTTTTGCACATTCATTTGCCATTTCTACATACTTGTAATCTTCTGAAGTATCTATTTACACATATTTTTAATTTCTGGGAAGAGTTAACCTGATATTATTTTATATTAATACTAGATGCCTGATACATGAAATTTGTGCAAGAGTAGGCCTTCACAGCCCCGGCTGCCTCAGCTCTCACAGCCCTGGCTTTATCCAGAAGGTCGTCTGAACCGTGTTCCGCTGTTTGGCTGTTCAGTCGATTTGCATATTATGCTTTTATTATTATAGGTTAACTAGAACCCCAGGACAAGAAATTGCGCGGCCCCACCCACCTGCGTGACCTTGCCATGCTCGCAGCCCTACCCACCCACGCACATCCTGCCCACCCATGCCAATCTTTGGTCGTTATGGTGTTAGGACCATGGGCTTTTTTATATATATAGATATGGTCCCATATGTTCCTAAAACGTATTGTTTAATTTAACGTTCACAGAAACTATCTGATGTTGTTATCATACACATTTTAGAGACTATAAACCCCGAGTCTCAGAGAGAATTTGATTTACCCGAATTTGTGGCAGTAACCAAAGTATGACTAGAATCTAGATCTTCTGACTTAAAATCTGGTAGGCTTTGCCCTTGTCCGGTTGTTCTCTTAGTGATCAGTATTTCTAAAACAAACCATTTATTTTTCTCTGCATCCTAGTTCTTTTTGATGAAACAAAGAGCAAAGGAAACTGAAGTTCCAAATTATGTGTAGCTTTTATGCTAATACATTTAGTTACTTCTTTGATCTTGATAGTGTGTTTGTGGGTGGAATAAGGAAGAAGAGAAATGAGGAAAGAGGCCATTAAGCTTGACAGGTATGTTTGTGTTTGCAGCTGCTGCAAGGAGACCCCGTTCACTGGCGGACTAACTAGCCTCATGGTCACTAAATATGTTAGGTCTTAAGAGAACCACAGCCTCTCTTGTGGGTGTTTCAGGACTTGCTAGAACATGAGAAAAATTGAGAAGAAACGTGAAAGCCCTAGTCAATCTAGGATTCTTCAACCTAAAGCAAAGCCACTGCCCTCTTTTTTTCTTTCTTTTTCTTTATAGTTCCTATTTTTTATCTTTTTGTTTTTTTTAAAAAAAAATCTTTATTGTTGAAAGTATTACTTATACATACTCCCCTTCCCTCCACTGACCCCTTCTAGCCCTCCCATCCCCCGCCCCAGCCCGACAGCATCCTGTTGTCTGGGTCCATGGGTTATACATATGTGCATAAAAGTTCTTTGGTTGATCTCTTCTCCTCCACCCCACCACCCCTGCCTTCCCTCTAAGATTTGACAGTCTGTTTCATGCTTCTATGTCACTGGATCTATTTTGTTCAACAGTCTATTTTATTCATTAGATTCCACATATGAGTCAGATCATGTGATACTTGCCTTTCTCTGACTGGCTTATTTCACTTAGCACTATACCCCCTAAGTCCCTCCATGCTGTCTCAAAGAGTAAGAGACCTTCTTTTTAATGGCTGCATATTATTCCATGGTGTAAATGTACCACAGCTTTTTTATCCACTCATCTACTGATGTGCCCTTGAACTGCCTGCTTTTTAATGTTAGACATATTTATACCCAACAGGCTCAGTAATAAGTTTAGCTGTGGTGGGGCTGGGGGAAGATGGGGTGACAGAAAATACTGATCGTTTCAAGCAGTAGAATAGAATATAGGTTAAAAGTGTGGAATCTGGAGCTAACTGAGCACCTACTATGTGCAAGGTACTGGGGATATATTAGTGGAAGAAAATCCCTGCTCTCATGGAGCTTACATTTTAGGGGGAAGAAACAAAAAATAGAATAAATAAGTAATATAGCATATTAGAAGATTTTAAGTGCTGTGGAGAAACATTGGTCAGGGAAGGGGACAGGGAGTGCTTTTTATTCTTCTTTGGTCCATCCTGGTAAGTTTTCATGATTCAACTTTTTAATGTGTCAACTTCTAATTCCTGGGTTGCCTTGGTTCTCCTCTACCAACTCTATCCCACTCATGTTTGTTTGTTTTCCAGGCAAGAGCAGGTCTCATAGTTTGCATCTGGTGTGGACAGAGACAGTATTCACCAGCATGGCATGAATTTAGGAGTGAATAAAGAAAATAAATAAAAAGAAAAAGAATTATTTAGAGGTAAGCAGGCATTAAAACCTGTATTAAAATTAGGCTTTTGTTCTTAATTTTTGTTTGCTATTTCCTGCATGTCATATATCAATAACATTGAATTGGATTGTGATTTATTCACCAAATTCTGCTAGGTAGGCACTGGGGGTCTAGAGAGGGAAGAAACAGTTGTAGAGAACCTTACCGCCCCATGGAGTGATATTTATATTTTCCATGCATATCTTTCCTCTTTTCTAAAGAGGTTTAGGCATCTGTCATTAGAATGGAGTAAACACTGCACCCCACGTGAAAGGAAGCCAGGCCTCAGGAAAGGATGGGGCTGACCCACCTCAGTGACAAGGGTCAAACAGTCCACAGCCTCCCGTTTCCCAGCAGTTCTGGCCAAAGTGGAGAACACCTACCAATTTATAGAGGAGGTGAAGGATTCCTTTAATCTAATTTCTCAGGGAAATTCTTCATGTTGGAGAGTCAATGAGGAAACAGAAAATAGTAGAGTGGGGAAGTTCCTCGTTAATAGCTTTTGGAACAAATGCAGATTTTTGTTGTTGTTGGGTGTGCTTAGTGTGGCTAGGAATCTTCCTCCATCGTTAGATTTCTGAGGAAGAGGTCAAAGGACAGGGCTTTGGAAACCTGGGCGAAGCCACATGGAGCTACAGGATCCCTTTGCAAAGACAGGCAAAAACCTGGGGCCTTTGAAGAAAGTGGGAGAGGTAATTTTCTCCACCATTCCTAAGGACTAACCTCTACTCTTGGCCCTTAATGTCAATTTTGACCATGCTTTCAAGTTAGAAGTACATGTTACACACCAACTAACACACACACACACATACACTCCTGAGGCAAAAATTCCCTCAACTTTCCAGACTAATATTTTATCATATTATGAATGAGACACTGATTTTTAAAATTGTGTTCAATTCTACCTTTCAATTGCTGCTGTACCAATTAAAAATTAATTTCAGCCCTGGCTGGTGTTGTTCAGTGGTTGGAACATTAGCCAGGCACCAAACGGTCACGTGTTGGATTCCTGGTCAAGAGTATGTACCCGGGTTGCAGGTTCTATCCCCAGCCCCAATTGGGCAGTTGCAGGAGGCAACCAATTGATGTGTCTCTCCCACATCAATGTTCCCTTCCTCCCTCCCTCCTTCCCTCCCTCCCTCCTTCCTTTCCACTCTCTTTAAAAATCAATGGAAAAATATCCTTGGGTGAGGATTAACAAGAAAAATTAATTTCAGATTCCACAAATTGCTTAGAGTCTGTAGTTTGAAAAATAATACTTTAGCCCTAACCGGCTTGACTCAGTGGGTAGAGCATCGGCCTGCAGACTGAAGGGTCCCAGGTTCGATTCTGGTCAAGGGCATGTACCTTGGTTGCGGGCACATCCCCAGTGGAGAGTGTGCAGGAGGCGGCTGAATTGATGTTTCTAACTCTCTATCCCTCTACCTTCCTCTCTGTAAAAAATCAATAAAATACATTAAAAAGAAAAGAAAAATACTTTAAATCATTTGTTTTCAATGAGGAGAACATTTCAAACTTTACCCACAGGTATATCCCTAAATGATTTGCTGTGTTAGGAGGTAAAATCTCCCTAAATGATTCTCATGATCCCCTCCCCATCCAAAGTGACAGATGCCAGAAAAACAGAAAAAAGGGAGAAGAAGGAAAGATCATTTCCTAAGGCTCAGAGCAGAGCTTGTTTCCCATATCCTGGGGGTGTCACATCCTAATAGAAGACATTCTGGGTTCCAATTAAGACATGAGCTTTTGGACTACCACAACTTCCCGGAGACAAGCTGTAGGGGCTTAAAAAATATTTTTTTCCTCCCACCTTCTGAGTTCTTCTGGCTGAGCCAATAAGCAAATTAACATGAGATAGATTAACAGGAGAAAATGTCTAAAGTTTATTTAATGGATGCCCATTCGAGGGTGCCATAATGAGACCCAAAATACATTGGGTAGTTGGGTTTATATGCTATTTTGGAGCTAAGGAGAAAGGGGAATTGTGATTTGGGACTTCTTAGGGCCAGAAGGCAATTCACATGGAGGTAAAAAAGTAATTGTTTGGAAATAAATGTTTGCTGGGCCATTTAAAAAATTATTTTTCATCAGAAATACTATTACAGGTGTAGTGTCAGGTTAGTGGCAGTCCATTAGTCCATTGTGTGTGGGGTCCACATGACTGTGGGCCATTTGGGCAAATGCAGGGGCGTGTGTCCCAAGCAACAAGAGTCCCAAGGGTCCCCAAAGCACAAGAGCACAAGAGGAACCAAGAGCAAACTCCTTTGTGTAGGGGATTAACTATCCCAAATTTAGAGACCCTGTGGTGGCCACACCCATTCTGGCCAAGGACCTTTGTTCTCAGGTGTGAGAGATAGCAAGCACCTTCCCTATGCCATCCCAAAGTTACTGGGCAGCTGTCTGTCTCCCCTTTGTTGGACCCCTGGTGAGTGTGAAGTTACAGCTTCCTGGTGAAGCTGAGCAAATGACATGCCTATAATGGCTGGCTTCCCTCTTTGCTCCTTTCCTGTTATTATAAGTAGGTTAATTTCAGTGGTATCAACTTGAGTAAAATAAATCCTATTTTCACATGAACTTTCAAGAAACTGGGAAATTAAAATATGCTTAAGACTTTGAACATTTGCATTTACTTTCTAGATTGGAACAAATGCATATGTAATAAAGAAAAAAGTTCAACAAGTACAGTTGATTTATGCCAGGGCTAGCTAGGTCCCAAACATAGAATTCCTAAAAACAAAAGTTTGAGTTTATGATTTAGCTCATCTATGTTAGGCAAAATTTAGAAAAATTTGAGATAAGGTAAACAAGTCTCTCTCAATAGAGAAGTGGATTTTGCTAGTGGTAAAGCAGGGGAAGGTCATTCCAGGCAGAGGGCCAGTGTGAGCCAAGGCACATGTTGGAAGGCTCAGGGTATGTGGGACCTGAAGGAGAAGAGGCGGAAAGAGGTTGCAGGGCAGGTTACCAAAAGCCTTAGCTCAGTGGTTCTCAACCTTCCTAATGCCGTGACCCTTTAATACAGTTCCTCATGTTGTGGTGACCCCCAATTTCATTGTTACAAATTGAACATAATTAAAGCATAATGGTTAATCACAAAAACAATATGAAATTATATATGTGTTTTCCGATGGTCTTAGGTGACCCATGTGAAAGGGTCGTTTGACCCCCAGAGGGGTCATGACCCACAGGTTGAGAACCACTGCCTTACCTGAATGTTAAAGGTTTAGACTGGTCCAGGAGCAGTGGAGGGACAACAATGCTGAAGCAGAGGTGAAATGCACTCTTGGTGTTGAAATGCTAATGGTGCTGATTGCTGTGGGCCCTGAGTCTCCTGGGGAAGTAAACAACACACTTTCTGCAGAGCCTGAGGGGGTACTGGGGACAGTGTAGGAAGTGCTGACTGGTTGCTGGAGGGTATGGGAAAAGGAGCCAACTAGTTTTGAGTAAGGATATCAAATGGAGTCTAGCTAAAGATGAAAAATTATTGATTTGTCATATAGCTAATTTGCACAGTCATACCAACCTTTTGTGGCAACATTCAACAATCAAGGTGAAGTCAGTTGATATTATTGATAACTGATCATTTCATAGACACATGTTTTTTGATTCTCCCCTACCCCCCCCCAGTCCACCAAATGCCTGTCACTCATCTTTGATTAAGATTTATGATAAAGGCCAAACATATGCTGATGTGTCCTGAAGGGGTGGAGGTGGAAATATTTACCATGAATAGACATTATGCCTTTTTGACAAGAGACAAATGTTTCATTCAAATGCTGCATTTCGCATATTGGAAACTGTAATGAATTCTTGTGCACCTCTCTGCCTAGTTCACAATGTCAGGCCCAGGCATTGAAACACCCCAGGCTTTCCTCACAAAATTAAATTTAATGTTACACCCTCCAGTAGAATGGTGCATAAATCAAGCATTTGATTTGCATGGACTATAGCAAGCAGCTCCCTTCTGGACAAATATAAACCCAACTCTGAATATTATGTCAGGGACAGGAACAAAGCAATCTAGGACTTCCAATAAAAGTCTGGTACCAAGTGTAATTCATGTTGGTATTACACTGCTCTGTGTCAAGCCTGTTATTAAAACTCTTGTTTTAACCTCCTTTTTTCATTTCAAAAGAAAATGTTTTTCTTGACCTTCCTGTATTCAGAAAACCAGTGCACAGTCAAACCAGTACTATTTATAAACTGGTGTCTACTAGTGACAACCATGGGCATATTTATTTCCTTTTTCCACCTACCCCTGTCCAACATAGAATATGGGAAGGGGTACATATGAGTAATCAAATGGAAAGAAACCAAACAAAGGGCATGGAATAAAATACACCAGGGGAGATTCGGTAACATGGATATTCACTAATGTTTACCTCTGGCCACAGTCCCAAGAGAATGCTAAGAACAGTTTCGGAGAGACAAGTTTAAAAAATGACTCAATAGCCAAAATTAATGTACATTTGGATGCAGAACATGCATTCAATTCAAGAAAAGTGATCCTAAATATGCGTCATTTGGTCTTGTTTCTGGCCTCCGGCATATGCCGGGTTATGCATTTTCCTTACTCATATTTTCCCCATCACAGGGTATCTGAACCATTTTTTACTAAAAGTAAAATTACTGTGATCTGAAATTGAGTAAGGCCCTAAGATAGGAAGCATTTTTAGAAATGCAAAATGAGTCCACGCTAACTTCCCAGAGCACATCAATAGATCACAGACTTGCACATATTCTACACTACATCAAGGCTCGTCTTGTTTTTTCTGGAATGCTGTAGACACAGTACGAACAGAGCCTGCTCCTAAAGCCAAGTGCATTTCCAAGAAGGCACAGCTGTCTGGAACACATAACCAGGTGAAGATGTGAGCCTGAGAGCTATGCTGATGATTTGGTATCTGCAGTGTAATTTCTCCCAGCTGTCCATGAACAGCTGTTAGAATT